GTTAGGGCCATGTCATCGTCTTCTTCTTCTATGGAAGAGACCGTTAAAACGACGGTGACAGAGAATCCTATCGACCTATTACCCTCTAAATTACAATTGAAAGAATTGATTGGTTATACGACTTAGTGTTTTGATGGGTTTTATCAAATTTTGAATCTTTTGATTACATTTTGAAATGGGTTATTGTGGGTTTTTTTGTTTTGAAGATACTCGTCCCAAGTGAAGACAGTGTTCAAGAGACTTGAAGTTGAGCCATTGGTTATTGAATTGGATGAACTTGGTATATGTTTACTTTACATTATTCTGCACTTGATTCTATAACCTTTTCCTTGTATGGGTCTGATTAGTTTGATAAAGTTGGCTTGATCATGTGTGATTATTATTGTTTTTAGATTGTTGGAAAAATATGTCTTTTTTCTTTTTCTTGAGCTTTGCAGGCATTTCTCATTCCTCCAGATTTCTTCTAGATTCTAGTTTTAATTTGTCATTGCATATACAGAGATATCGCCGTAGATTCTTGGCGGAGTCGCACTACAAGAAGCTGAAGAAAGCAGCAATTGCGACACAAAGTGCATGGAGCCCGTAAAGAACTGCGAGAGCTTAAGATGGTGAGATTTTTCTACCTCTCGCTTTTGTCTTTTTCTTTGTTTCTTTCAAGGGTTTCAGTTCATAAACACCTCAGATAACGTTTGGCTTTTTGATGAGTTTAAACGATGGGATTAGATGAGTTTAGCTGTTTAGATAATGGAGCTAGCAGCTGGAAATTGCCCATTCCATTTGATTGTCTTGAACACAGAGACAGAACATGCTCGCTTTTTCCCAAAATGAGAAAACTGCAGCAATGATGCATTCATATTTTCTTGCAGGCTGCAAAGGAAACTGGAGCCCTTCAAGCTGCCAAGACTAAGCTTGAAAAGCAAGTGGATGAACTCACATGGAAACTGCAACTTGAGAAAAGCATGAGGGTCAGATAAAACACGTCCCTTCCTCGAAAGTTTTCCTCTCTAAAAATCATGAAATGCCGATTTTTTCCAAGGATTTCAGAGCAGTACAAAACATTTGGAATTTTCTCTCTCTTTCATATGCAGTCCCTGGTAAGTGAAGATTGATGAAAACAAAGAAAAGATTCGAGGAGACGACCAAAATTAGTAAGGAGAGGCTGATTCAGGCTTTAGATGCTTAAAACAAAATTGTGAATTTGAAGACAGCAATGCACAAGTATTCACAATTGTTCTCTCCGCTGTTGAATTTCCACACTAATTTTAATGTTTTGATAACTCACTGACAGAGTCAAGATATGCGCTTGTTCTTCATTTTCAGACTCGAAGAGACATTAGAGGATGTGAAATTTGAAAATCAACTTTTGAAGCCATCTGTCTTAAACACGCCTGTTAAGACAGCACCAGGACGTTTCCCTACTACTAGCGACAAAAACCAACTCAATGTAAAATTATGTCTTTGATTTGCCGTCTACTTTCATCTGAATTTCTGCTCCATTTGTTTGTATATCCTTAAAATCTCCGTCTCTGCAGGGAGCTGAGTTTACAAGGATACAAGAATCAGAATCTGACACTAAGTCGAGGGGATCCCATATTGATCCTCGACATGTATGTTGTTTAGTTAATTACTCTTTTATCTGCGTCCAATTTTTAATATGTCCTCGTTTTGGTTGAAGAGAGATTCTCTTTTTTCTTTGTACAGGAGGATGTAGATGCCCTTATCAACTGTGTCACAAAGAATGTTGGATTCAGCCAGGGGAAGCCTGTCGCGGCATTTACCATCTACAAATGTCTTCTTCATTGGAAATCTTTTGAAGCAGAAAGAACCAATTTGTTTGATCGTCTTGTTCAAATGATTGGTTCTGCTATCAAGGTACTAAAATGGGAGGCTGTCTTGTCTACTTCTGGAAAAAAATCTGTTTTTTTGCTTTGTCATAGTTGAATGATCAATGATTCTTATTATCAGGATGAAGATGACAACGCTAACTTGGCATATTGGTTATCCAATACCTCGACCTTATTGTTCATGCTCCAACAAAGTCTCAAATCTGGTGGAACTCCATTTCCAAAGTCGCCTTCCTTGGTTCGATGGATGACCAAGGTAAATATGTGCTTCGGGTTTCATTATGAATGCCTATCCCTAGTTTTTCTCTAGTTAATGCACTATGCAAAAGTCTCAAGTGATTTTTGTACAAATATTCAGCCTTTAGTATGTGATGGCTACTCATGAATTATGCCAAGTGATGCATCAGTTTCGGTTGCTTTTGGTCTTTTTTACTGTGATCAAGCTTTAGCTGCTATTGGATTTTATGTTCACCTTATAGTATGTTCCCTTTAGCTAATAGCATGGTTCATCTTAGGAGCCATTTGGGTCTTACACGTCATTTTTCCTCCTGTTGCTCCTTGTTGCTCTCTCCTCATTTGGATCATGCGACAAGAACTCATGCTTCTGGTGATGTTAGTGGTTTAAACGACATATTTTCATGATCTGATTGTTTCTTAACAGTATACTTAGCTAATTCTATAATAAGAGAAGTAATAACCTGATACGTTAACTCATTGAAACGTCTTCAAAAAATTTGTTCTAAACACATGATGAAATCTTTTTCTTGCATGATTTCAGTGAGCTTGTAAATAAGAAATTTCAGCTACCATGGTCTTGCTAATTGTTTTTTGTGTTTTTGGGTATATTATAGGTTTGCAAGTATTTCTTGGATGCGGTGGAAAAGAAACAGTATGGTTGGTTCTGGGTTTGCCCCAATGGTGCCAAAGAGTGTCATTACAGACACGCACTTCCTCCGGGATATATCCTTAAATCTCAGATGAAAGCCCTCTTGGAAGAGGAATCAAAGAAGATGCCAGTTGAGGAAGAAATCGAAAACGAGGTTCTTATAAGACTCTTCCTGTTTTCGCAATATACTCATTACTTGCTATAGGAACCCGAGCTTGATTCGTAAGACTCACTTGGAAAATTGTTTTCTTCTCTGTCTTTCAGCGTGCAAAATTGAAAACCGCAACACAGATGACTCCGGCGCTATTTATGGAATGGAAGAGGAAGAAGATAGCTGAGAGAGATGCAGGTTTGGCTACATCTCGAACGGAGAGAGCTAAGAACGACCGTATGAGTGATTCATTATGTGGATTATGTAATCTCAGTGGTCGGGAGCTGTTTCTGTCGAATGCAAGCTTGTTTGTGGATGACGCTGAGGCTTTTGAAGAATACCAGAGGGAAAAAGAAGAGGAAGAGACTGAACAGAAGGTGAGCGCTCTCTTTCTCTCTCTCACACTCATTATTTAAACCAACCAAGTCATGTTAATGGAATCTTGAATTTTCTTCGTAGGCCAAGAACAAAGAAACAGACGCAGGGACAAGCAAGGGTAGTGGTGATGCTGAACAGAGTTCAAAGAAGTC